GAACTAACCCTCCTTTCTGCAAATTTGTTTTCGTCATTAATGATGTTACGCTCTTACTGAGACCACAACGGTTTTGAGCGACAAACTCGACATTTCCCTGCGACCATTAAAATCAACTGGACAAACCCAGCTTGATGTATTGCCTGACTTGATCGTGCAAACTTTTCTCTTTGTCATACGACCTGTTTCGCAGGTTCTACAAGTTGGAACCAAAATTAGTTAATGTAACGAATTAGAATCGAAATTTACATTTTAATGAGAATTTTATCTTTTAAATGTTTACTTGATTCATGAAAAGCAAAGATTGGAGTGGCTTTGGGTATTTCAGCCCTGATTTGGAAAAAATAAAACAGTTAGTGGTATGTTCTAAACACCAGAACACCTGAGAGGACACTGGAAATGTAGTAAATATAGTAAATGTAGTATAACCAGTGAAATCCTCGATTACAAGTTAATTTTGTTTGGTTCCGGTCATTTTAACCACAATATGGAAAAAAATATAACAGTTATTGGTATTTTCTAAACATCCGAACACTTTAAGAAACATCGGAAATGCGGTGAAAGTACTTGTTAACAGCCACATGCAGCACAAGGGAAAATGTGAGGCAATTAAGAAAGCCAGACTGACTGGAGATGTTTTTGAAGTTTTTGGAATTAAAGCTATAGTCGGATCACATGAGTAATATATTTACAGAGCGAAGGCTATTATTTAACTAAAAATTGGTTCGTAAGTGCCTATCTGGGTTATCTGCAATAGCAGACAAAACCAGAATTCTCTTTACAAAATCAAAGGACAAATTGTGTCATGACGAATTTTTGTCTCGATTTTTACATCCGCTTAAAACTTCAAAACTGTCAAATTTCGTCAGAGCTTGATCTGCTCATGAGACCAGCTGGCATAGCTTACCAATAGACTCAAACTACAGTTTCAGGATTCATCGTGCGTCGTTTCAAAGTTTTAAAATCCACGAGTTTCGCGACAAAAGAAAGTTAATGCCTTCCAGGTAAATTTTAGTGGGTTAAATAACAAGCTGGTGGCAGCTTTTACGACAAATGGCGTTGAAAACTCAGCCTCCTTTCGCTGCCACACATTCTTCATTTTGCTCTGGACGCTAAAAAATACTTTTACTACATTTCTAGTGTCCTCTCAGGTGTTCTGGTGTTTAGAACATACCACTAACTGTTTTATTTTTTCCCAATCAGGGCTGAAATACCCAAAGCCACTCCAATCTTTGCTTTTCATGAATCAAGTAAACATTTAAAAGATAAAATTCTCATTAAAATGTAAATTTCTTCAGTCCATTTGAATAACTTTCGATTCTAATTCGTTACATTAACTAATTTTGGTTCCAACTTGTAGAACCTGCGAAACAGGTCGTATGACAAAGAGAAAAGTTTGCACGATCAAGTCAGGCAATACATCAAGCTGGGTTTGTCCAGTTGATTTTAATGGTCGCAGGGAAATGTCGAGTTTGTCGCTCAAAACCGTTGTGGTCTCAGTAAGAGCGTAACATCATTAATGACGAAAACAAATTTGCAGAAAGGAGGGTTAGTTCATCGGTTAGTTCATACTAAATATAGTAGTAGGTTAGTTCATACTAAATCTCGGGAGAAACTCCAAGAATTGTTTCGGAGTATATGCCTGTTGTTTTGTAAATATAAGCACTGCAACCTATTTTAACTTATTTTTGTATCCTTTTAAGCAACGCGACCTGTCTGTTATGACCAGAGTGCCAAGTTTTATTCTTTGATTTTGATCTTCTCCACTCTGTGCGTAGTTCATGACCTGATATTTCAACGTAAGCTATCGAGAAGGCGCCTCCCGATCACCTTTGTCTACTTTGTAAGTCACGCAAGCA